TAAATAAATTGTTTGGTAAAAGTTTCTTTGGTAAATATCATCTTGTGAGTTAGTAATAACAATTAGAAATTTTCGATCTATGTATTTATTCATATTTTTTATTAGAACAATGGCAAAACGTTCAAACACGAATGAGTCTCATGACACAAGTAGTAGCGAAGATGAGCTCCAGATAGACGTTTATACAGATATGTTAAAAAGACTAACTATAGAAGGTTTTCTTCTACAGTTAGTCTATCGTTTTGATAGCAGTGATAGCGATATCGTCCAAGCAACAAGGCGATGAGAGAAAGAGTTCGCATAGATAGCGATTACAACAACAAAACAAAATTATAAAACAAACAATAACAAAATTGTAAAAAATAAAATATTGATTTTTTTGCAAATTTTTCGATTTCAGCCAAATTCATATAAGTCCAATATCATTATAATATGTTAGTTCCAAAACCATACTAAATAATACGAGGGTCTGTTAATGCCCGTTTCTGTCGAAAAATGGCGCTGAGTAGCTGGTAGCCAACGTCCAGAATGGTTCGGAGTGCTAAAGGTTAATAACGCTTTTAACGAGTTAAGAAATGGCGTTTTTGAGACTGTCAGAGACTCTGTATTTAATTCCACGTCGGTCCGTATTTCTGTTAGGCTCGAGGTTAGAAGGATAGATCCTGGAATGATTGTACAACGAGAAAAAACTATTGTTTGACTTTTTTCTTCGCGCAAACTACGATCGTTGGCTTGCATAATTTTTGAGGCGAGTATGAACACGTACGACAAACATAAACATAAGAACCGGCTCGAATTGGCAAACGATTGATATTCCCGGTAAATGTCAGATCAATCTCTATTCATACGAGACCGCTTCGTTGGGAACGAGCAATCCCGTTGTTCACCAGATTTTTTACGCCGCCGATGGTATCACGTCCGTTGGAACATCGTGAAAAAGAATCGGACAGAGATTTTTACTCATTGTCGACCGCGCAGCATCTGCTCTTGCGAACATAACCTATCTCTTCCGACTGTTTTCGCATCGTATGGCGGCAGGTGAAAGCGAAATAGAAGTAATTTTGACTCGTGAATTTTGCTGTGCATCGAAATTTCGATTCGACGAATTGCTTCTGTTTAAAAGATTATTGTTGGTATTACGATTGGATGGAACGCAATCATCTATTCATGGCAATGACAGTATCATAACTAAGTCACCTTCGCATAAATAATAGACGTGTATCGTTTCTTTATTTCCGTATTCTCAAACGTAGACGTCTGATATTTTTAATCGATTGATTGATGCGATAGCAGCGAAAAAATCAGGAAGAAGTCGAGGTTGTTTTTTTATTTTCCAACGATGATTTGGATCACAAATACGTTCAAGTTATCAAACACGTTGTAAATCGTTTGATACATTTAACAGATCCTCACCTTACGATTTCCGCAATGGTTAAGGATAAGAAGTTTATAATTTGTATAAGCATCGGTTTTTTTTTGCTGGCGACTGTGGCTGACTTTAGATTAAGAAGTAAGGTGAAAAAGAACAAAATGGGAACTTGTGGAGTTATTATAAATATATTTAAAAAAATATTATATTGTATATAAAATATATAAGATGTATAAGATGTGTAAAATGTGTAAGATGTATAAGATGTGTAAGATATGTATGATGTATATGATACAAAATATATGAAATATGTAAAATATGTAAAATACATAAAATAAAGAAATTTCTTTAAAAGAAAATTAAACTAAATAATAATAATAATAATAATAATAATAATAATAATACAAAACAAATTTTTATTTCTTCGCATTTTAAAAATAATAAAATAGTTCCAAAAATAAAGAACTTCGTTGTTTGTGTCTCGGGTCGTTACTCGTACCCATCAATGCACGCGAAGATCATGGTGTCACAGATCATTGGATTCGTCTTGATCTCGGCTGTTGTGATGGGTCAGTGGAAATATGCGATCTCTTTTACGAAAGAAAATTATTTCCGCCACAGCATAACCGAGAAATTACTTTGCGAACAGAGATAGTTGGCCACCCCGTACGTGTAATTACCTTGTTTATAATAAATCGGCACT